TGCATTACCTAAATGTAGTTTTTTCCAAAATCAAATTGAGTATTTGGGTTTCATTATTAATAAAGAAGGACTACATACGTCAGACAAAAAAATAAAAGCCATAAAAGATGCAGAACAGCCTCAAAATGTAACGCAATTAAAATCTTTTTTAGGTCTTATAAATTATTATGGATCTTTTGTGCCTAATCTGGCAACAGTGCTCAATCCTTTATATTATTTGTTAAAAACAGATGTTGTATGGGCATGGTCACCAGAATGTGACGAAGAATTTATAAAAATAAAAGAGCTTCTTACATCAGCACCCATATTAGTGCATTATAATCCAGACTTACCTAATATTTTGAGTACAGACGCAAGCGATTATGGTATTGGGGAGGTGCTTTCTCACCTTTATGCGGATGGCAGCGAGAAGCCCATCGCGTTTGCCTCACGCACTGTTTCAGATTCTGAGAAGTTTAGTCAAATTGAAAAAGAGGGACTAAGCATAATTTTTTCTGTTTGTAAATTTAATGAATATTTGTATGGTCGCAAATTTACTTTGTCAACTGATCATAAGGCTCTTACGACAATTTTTCATCCGGAAAAAGCCATTCCACAATTTTCAGCAAATAGACGGAGACGCTGGGCAGTCATTCTTTCAAATTATCAGTATGATATTCAATTTGTTAAATCAGAGAAAAATTATGCCGATTTTTGTCGAGAATGCCCTTATCAAGTTCGGAAAATTCTGATTTCGAGTGGCAAAATGTTGACGTGAACTTTATAAATTATTTTAGCCAAAATAGTGATTTTCCGATTAATTTTGATGCAGTTAAAAATGCGTCATTAAAAGATAGCACTCTTTGTGAGGTAAAAAAACTTTTGCTTACAGAGTGGCCACAAAATATTTCCGATAATTTAAAACCATTTTTTCGCATTCGAAATGAGTTAAGCATTGAATCAGAGTGTATACTGTGGAACAATAGAATAATTATTCCCTGTGTTTTTCAAAAACAAATTCTAATAGACTTTCATTCCACACACATGGGAATGGTTAAAACTAAAAGTTTAGCTCGGTCATATTTCTGGTGACCAGGTCTGGACAAGGACATCGAAAATATTTGTTCCGCTTGTCCTTCTTGCCTATTGTATAAGAAGAGCCCTAGCAAGGCAATTCTTGATACTTGGCCTTGGCCAGAAGAACCTTGGATAAGACTACATGTCGATTTCATGGAGCCATTTTTAAATAAACAGTTTTTAGTGATAGTTGATAGTCACACTAAATGGTTGGAAGTTTTTCCAGTAACGTCTATAACCTCCAAGGTGACCATCGACTGTTTAAGGAATTGTTTTTCAAGATTTGGTTACCCAAATTTATAGTTACAGATAATGCAAAAACTTTTTGCAGCAATGATTTTCAAAATTTTTTGTGTATGAACAATATTAAGCATAAAACTTCATCTCCTTTTCATCCTTCCTCAAATGGAGCCGCCGAGGAAATGCGGTAAAAACAGTTAAAACTACACTTGAAAACGCTCTAACTAGTAATAGTACTCAAGTAGAGAATAATTTAAATAGGGTATTATCCTTGTGTATTATGTAATTTTCTATTTGATTTTCGAAATACGCCTCATTGCACGACTGGTGTTTCACCATCGCAATTGATGTTTAATAGGAAAGTGCGTACTAGGTTTATTAAATTGTTGCCTGAAAATGATAATCAACTTTTTGAGAGTTCTACTAATGTAAACAATAAAGTCACTAGCAGCAAAATATACAAAAATATTATCATAGAGGCAATAGATTTATGCAGTTTAGTATTAATGAAAATGTTACAGTTAAGGATTACAGAAATGTACAAAAACCTACTTGGATACGTGGTAAAATTTATAAAAAAAAAGGAAAATGTATGTACTTGGTAAAAATTCCTTCATTAAATGACATTATTTGGAAGCGTCATTTAAATCAGATAAGGAATTTTTTTATTAACGAATCAGCTATTTCTAAAGAATTAATTGATGAACAAAGCGAAAGTCATAATGAGGGAATTTCCCAAGAAAATTCGATTGTGGACTTAACATCTCCTAATAAAGTTGAAGAAACTAATTCTGATTTCAGTGAAAATCGGCCTAAACATTTAGTGAAACCAGTGCAGCGTTTAATGTATAATTAGTTTTTTTTTTGTAGGAGGAAAGTGATGTAATCTTCTAGTACTTTAACAAATGCTAATTGTAAATGTGATGTGTAAATATAAGTAAGCCTGACGACATTGTAGATTTGTTTATGAGCAGAAACATTCCATATTTTTTGTAGCATAATGTATCTCTCGCTTCATAGCAGTTAGTATTAAGTATTAAACAGGGTGTTGAAAAATTCAGTTGTTTTATTTATATAATATTTTAAGCAAAATCTCTAAAATATTACAGTCACATTGCGCCGTTTTCAGCAATGTTGTCCTTTATTATTTGACAATTATCCTAGTGTCAGTCATTATTTTGTATATCGTGTTGTTGTTGAATCTTTGTGAATAATTCCCATTTTTTTCCCTATTTTCCCAAAAAAGTCTTTTAAAAATTGCACATTTAAGCACAAACAGTTCTTTCAAGAACTACATTTCAAACATCTATAAATGCTAACTTGAAAACTAATGTAAAATATCATTAAGTATCACAGTCTCCGCAGAATGGCTTCGTTAAATGAAACCGAACCCATCGAAATGAATAATTAAATTGAAGTGTTTAAGTGATATTTTCAAAAGTCAATAATACGGAAACGGTTGGTTTGAGGTACATTGTGTGTATTTCAATTTTTGCTTAGAATTGAAGGAAGAATGCGGGTGTTCCATTAAAAAAAAAATGAAACTTTGATGTGCTACAACTTTATGACCGACCCCGTAAAAAAAGTATTACTCGCTAATAGATATTGTAATCGCAAAACATTTTCCGATGCACGTCATCAATCATATCGACATTGACACTAAAGTCTATAAACCTGACTAAATGTAATATTGGCAAAAATGTTTAAATTTGTTGTACAATTTAAGATACCGAGCAGCTCTTCATTTTACGTTATAGAGCAAATGATTGTAACAGATATTTTATTTAGATTAAAGATGCAAAAATTAGTTTAAATCGAATTTTATTATCGCTATGTTGGTCACATTGCGCCGTTTTCAGCAATGTTGTCCTTTATTATTTGACAATTATCCTAGTGTCAGTCATTATTTATTTGCATATCATGTTGTTGAATCTTTGTGAATAATTCCCATTTTTTTCCTATTTTCACAAAAAAAAGTATTTTTTAAAAATTACACATTTAAGCACAAAAAGTTCATTCAAGAACCACATTTTCGAGTTTTTGTATTGCATTTTTTGAAATTGTGTGTTAAAAATATGCCGAAGCATTTAAACAGTCGAAGCAAAGAACTTGTAGCTTCCTTGTTTTATTTCCTATTTTGAACGAGAACGTGACAATAAAAGTCCTTTATTACCCTGAACTGCAGTCAGAAAAGTAAGTTTGATTGATAAGCACATTATATTACTTTCAAAGTTATTTTTTATTAATTTCTGTGATTATTAGTTTGTGCAATAATAGCATCCTCTTACTTGTTATTATCACTTATGGCGTTGTAAGATGTACATCAATAAATAAATAACCCATAATAACGCTTATAATAATCTTCATAATGGACTAGTTTTTGCCAATATGTAATAAGTAAAATATATAAGCTATAAAACAAATAAATCAATTAATCACTAAAATATTAGTTATTAAATTAAAAATAAAACGTAAAACTCTTTAAAAAATTATATAATAAATATGTTGTTGTCAACTTTAAATTAAGATTCATCTCTTAAATCCATCACAATCTGGCAGCGCTGTCGCCATTGCTTGTCACTCAAAGTTGGTCACGTGCATCGGAAATTGTTTTGCTATTACCATATAACCCTACAACTTTTATATTTAACTTTTTGCGGTACCTCGTGTATTTTACCTAATAATCGACCGTTCCCATACATATACATACATGGTGGTAAATTATCATCATTTACGAAATTCACTTAAAATTAACTAATTATAGTACTATTTACTATATATTAACTAATATTTTGCGGATTTGTTGCCCTTTCCTAAGTTTATTTTGTCGTTTCTTATGGTGGGTTCATACAGCCAAATAAAATAAAATAAGAATAAAATAAAATAAGAAATAAGGAATTCTTATTTGTGTGCGTTCATACAGTCAAATAAAATAAAATAAGAAATATATATTTGCTCATGCGCAGTACGATGAGGCTGGATAAAAGTTAACTTTTAGGATTGTTTATAGTAATTTTACTATTTATAGTATATTTATTTATTCGTTGCCTACTATATTATACATTTTACTTATGTGAAATTATAAAATAAATTAAATCCAAACTGAAAATATTTGTAGGTTAGAATTAAGCGTGCGCAAAGCCGTTTTCACATAAAATAAAACAAGAAGTTAAAAGATAAAGACTTCTTATTTTATTTGTTATTTTATTTGGCTGTATGAACGCATGTACGGTATCCCATATAACCAACTTTCTTATTTTATTTTATTTTATTCTTATTTTATTTTATTTGGCTGTATGAACCCACCATTAGTCATTTTATAAGTGGATATATCTAAATAGTGTACAAATTTGGAAAGACATTGCGTCAGGACTTGAGTTACCGTGAGATTATCGTGAACTTTAGAAAAATACTTCAAAAATAGTTGAAAAAATAGAACGCCACTGATATACTGAAATTCCAGTTAAACCAGTATTACACTATGAAATGTCTACGTCAAAGATCTTTTATAAAAGATATTTGATGAAAAAATTGTCAAAACCTATCAAATTGTTTGATAAAATAAAATCTTTGACAAAGAAATTTTTGATAGTGTAACACTGACCTTAGCCATATTAAAATACTTTTGCGGTGTTAATAAATTTGTGAATATACTCCTTCCTTACTATTTTTATTCAATGACTAGTATAATGTAGGTATCTTACCGACAACAGGTCATGATGTAACTCATAGCTTTGTGCGCGATACTTCTATCTCCTTGCAATAGACATTGTCGTAATAGTCCAGTCATATTTTCCTCTATTCCATTGATAAACATGAATTCTAACTGATGCGTGGGTGATTCTCCATTATTGCCCCTATTAGGAGTGAGTCGAATGGCTGCCACCCAATTTAAAATCTCCATTACGATCTTTAACGTTTCTCTGTTGGTACTATTGACCGCAGTCATTATCAACGACTGAATAAAAACATTGGATTCGAGCATGAGACTGCGCAACGATTTCTCGCAAGAGATTTGGATGGCGACCGTCGGACTGTATATTGCGATGCTAATTTCATGAATACTGTCACAACCTAAGTACCTTTCAGATTTTCTGTTAGATAAACCCACTTTGTCAATGATTATATTTCCTTGGCTGTCTTGTCTCTTCATTGATTTGTCGTCTTTGTCGTATACGGCTCTAATATGTAACAATAGGTTTCTTACCTGCAACATATAATATTAACAATTAGAAATATACAGTATTACTGTTATTTAAAAAAAGTTTATATAGAATTTTTTCAACTATAACATAAAAGTCATTTTGCCATAAGACATGGCGGCAAATTAGAAAAATCCTCTATACATGCAAAAAGTGGAGTGTAAGTGAAAAAATATAGAAAATAGTCAAAGAGAAAAGCTGGTTAGAATTGGATTGTACATCTATATACCACGTTTCACAAATATGCAAGAATTTATTAATATCTTTAGGCTGTTTTATAAAAAAGCAATTTTTAGCTAATGAATAATGCCCTATGAAATTAAAAATTCAAAAATGTACATTTTTAATACACCAAATTTGTTGCAATGGTTTATAGAAAAGAAACCGAACACTTATTTTTAATTACATTTTTTTATCAAACTTTATATTATGAATTATTGTATGGTAAAAAAAGGTATAAGTACAAATGAGGGAGCAGACTTACTAAGTGCATTTTGTCCATTTTTTAAGATTTTCAACCAAAGGTGACATTGCAAACTACATACATAGACTTACAATATTATGTCAGAAACGACGCTTTAAATTCATTTTATCTCATTCGAACTAAATGGCGAGAATATCTTAGACTTTCTATGTGCTGTATGTCCATTGACGGTAGACAAACAAACAGAAAGTATGTCCTTTTGTGTTGTGGTGTTGTTTGTTATTCCCAGATGAGGAGTGTACTACAACTTCTCTATTTTTTGAATAATACTACTTAAAATAATGAATGAAACTACGACTGTCAGTGGCGTAGCGTGGCTTCAATACAAGAGGATGTAATAATAAGTAGTGATGGGATAACTTCTCGAGTACTCGATTATTAAAATAACCGACATCGCTCGATTATGAACGAGCGATGTAAGTGACGAGTACCAAGCGACGAACGCAAGCGATCCTAGAATAAAATAAATTGAAATCCGATTTTAATGTGACATACTCGATAAAAAGCCGAGCGAATTTTCTACATACATTGCAGGTAGCAAATTTATACGACGTCGTATATATATTTATCCGTTGCGTATCTGAGGGACAAAATTTTACGATCTACATCGACAATGCTTTGAAATGAAACTAAATCAAGCGATCAAGCAAATCGATCGCCGTTTGCTACTTGCCATTCATCACTGCGCACGCAACTTACTGCTTGGTGTTAACGAGTACTTACAAGCGACGCGACGGATGAAAAACCGTATTTTTAAATACGAGTGATATTTCACTCGAGCGATCACTCGGTTATTGCAATCGCTTGAAACTCGAGTACTCGATTATTGAAATTAATCGTTTTTTCCCATCACTAGTAACAAGTAACTGCAATTAACATTTTACCAACACCATAGTCTTTTTCTTTTTTTTAAGTCTTTAATTTTAAAGTTACAAAAATAAAACATACAAAAAATGTCACAGGTTAAAAAAATAATCAAACCAATTTAAAAAAAGAACTAAATTTAGCTGTGAACGTATCTGTTTATTGTGAACGTATCTATAAATTTAAAATTAAGATTAATTCTTCTAGTATGCATATTTGCGAACACTTTTATTACATTTTCTTCAAATGAAGGAGAAGAAAGCATACTCCCTACTATCAAATATAGACAAAATAAATAGACAGCGAACGGGAGACGTAATGACGGCCGGAAAGTTCGTTAACCTCGAGTCGCGTTCGGCGTCGTTCAAGATGTAACGAGTACAATCGCATCACGGCGCTGTCGAGATATTTTTAGCGTTTAGCGTAGGTTTTTAGCATTATCTATAAAGCTTGACCAATACACACATTACATAATCGAAATTGAATTTAATTATTTGAATAAATTTACTGAGAATAATTTTAATTTATTACAGGAGATAGGACTTTAAAAAAAAAACATATTATTACAATATTTTGAAGGGATGCGACGCATCACCCGCATCAATAGAAGCTTCGCCGCTGACGACTGTGGACCATGTCGTTGGGGATACGGATCGTGGTAGCAGAAAAATAAAGAGAAATTTCACATCTAAAGGATATTTTTTTTTTAATTTTTTTTAGATACCATCAAAACCAGAATTTTCACATGTAGGTGTAGTATTTTTATGATTTTTATTCATTTTTTAAGTTTATTAGTTTTTCGGTAACTTTCTTGCAAAAAGCGTAGTGCTTTCAAAAAAATAGACAAAATTCATCTAGAAAGTCTGCTCCTCAAATATACAGTCGAGTTCATAAATAATTAGTTTTAAATTACCTTTACTTTGAACATTTTTGGACTTGTCAAAGTAACTGTACCACTTTGTTCAGTCAAATCCAAGTGATGAGCAAGGTTCACAGGTCCGGCAAGAATATCAGCATTATGTGCTCTCAGGTATTCCTCAGAAACAACAGGATTCTCAACTCTTCTCAGCATGTCAATGGTTACAGTATCATCCACCGCAAACTTAACATCTCTACTATGACCTATACCGCTTTTCGTTTGTCGCAAAAGTGACACTTCTACGCAAGGTTTGTTTGAAGCATTTTGGAGAGTAAAATGGACATCTACGTGTCCTAGAACCATAGATGAAGGTAAGGTTATTTCGAAAATGTGTTCTTCCCAGGTTGTTGTATCAGTCTGCAGTCGCCATGTTTTTGTAAAAGCTTCAGTGTTAACTATGGAAGAGTTCCGTCTTTGTCTTATTGCTTGTTGAAATTCACTCCAGCAAGAGGGTACAACCACATTATATATTGATCTGATTGGAGCAAACTGACATAGTTTTTGCAAAGTCCTTAAGTCTTCCAATGATATATTGCTGGGTGGTTCTTTGAAACAACTTATTGTATCCCACTTATCTAGGGAACTTAATTCTTTAAAAGAACTGTCGATTCCAAGTCCAAAAATATCGTCTTCTTCGTGTTCATCGACCGACTCATTGTCGCTGTCGTTTAGGGCAAAGAAATGTAGCGATCCTTCTCGGGTTGATGCACATAATCTGTCTAAACCTGAAAAATCAGAATATCAAATAAGATTTTGAAAATATAACTGAAGAATAAAAAAAAACTAAAAAATAAAATACAGTATAACTTATTGAAGTTATTGAAGTCCGGACAGTCTCTAGAACGGGTAATCTAGTAATCCGGACACGGCTATTATTCGGGCATTTTAGAACATTTGTCACTGAAATCCGGGCGCAAAAAAATCATACGCGAAATCTCAGAATAGTAGAGGGAGATGGCCGACTCTACGCCACAATGACTAAAGACTACAAGGACATGTAACGGCCATATACGGGCTACAGCAGAATTTGTGACCTTAGACGCCATTTTTTTGGACATAACGAATGAGCCATCAGCTGGTTATCAGCGACAATTTTAGCGATTTTAGTTGGTTGTGTGTTTAGCGAAATAGTTGGTTGTGTGTAGTGAACTTTGTATAAACTACATTACAATGGTAATTTGTTCAACTTTCAAGTGTAAAAGGCGCAATGATAAGAAAGAGCCAGGAGTTACGTTTTATAGGGAAATAAACAGTTCACTACACCTTTTTAGCGTTTTTTTTATTGAATTCGATAATTATTTTTCTGATATTATAGGTACTTGATATGTGCTATACGTCGATACTAGTTTTGTACCTTTTGTTAACATTTTAATACGTTTTTTTCGTAATTAATTAGTATGATACCATCGGATACACCATAGGCGTAGTGAAAACATTTGTCAAAAATATAAATATCGCTTCAAGCGGCAATGTTAAGAAAAATATGTGCCACGGCACTGTTTGGAAGAATGGTCAGTTTGGTCTCGGATGCTATTTGTCCATGTATTCTTTTATCATTGCTACGCCAGCTGCCGCCGGACGCCGGAAGTGACGTCAGGTGTCGGGGTGGGGGGATGCTGGAAGTGATGTCAAACGTTATCTGTCAATGTCAAACGTCAAACTTTAAACGTCATCTGTCAAATCTCTCAATGTCAAACGTCATCTGTTAAACTGGGTGGGTCTTGAGATGAAGTGTGGAGGAACGAGGGGAGTGGAGATTTGTTAGGATTTGTCGACGGTCGGCGGATATGAGTCATCATCATTTTTTTACGTAAAAAATAAGAAAATGTATATTTTTTGACTCATTACTTTTATATAGATCCTGAGAAAAAGATATAACTCTTCAAATCAGTTAAAAAACATGTAGGTGACGCCCCGTACAAGTAGCAGTCAAATTGATATTGAAATAAAATTTCTCATGCCAAAAAAACACCCAGACACGAATTTTTATCAAAATATTGACGTTAGTTCAGAAATTATTTGGAAAAAGCGGAAATATTAATGAAATTTCTACACCCTGTATCTCCTAAACGAAGCCATTTCAGGACATACATTTATATGAACTTTTTTACTTATTTTTATCTGCCTAAGTTTCCAGAATACAGTTCGGACCACCCTGTATATTTTATTAGAGCCTCTCTACCATCTGAATAATTACTAATAAAAAGTTGTCCATTATTATCCAATGGGTAATTTATTTGTATTGAGGAAAATTTCTCGTATGTAAGAAAAAAAATTAATAAATAAATTAGATACTTTTAGTTTTAGTTGTTCTAAATTTAAATTAATTTAATATATTAAATATAGAATCCCTTATAAAATAATGATTTATTTAAACTTATATAATGTTATTTCCAGTATTTTTACTGGAAATAACATTTTTTTGTCATTGAAGACCGGAAAAGGTATAAAACCTAAAGCCCTATATAAGGTTTTACTCCTGTCAATTAGAATGGAAAACACAGTCTAGAGAACTGACGTCAGTTTTGTGAATGGTCTCTCGTTTTAGCCGCGTCTACAACTTTTTACCTGTCAGGTAAGACGGATTAAAGACAATCGTATACACTAGAAATTTTACTCGCGGTTTTATCAATTATAGCATTGTGTTTAGTGAAAAATAAGTGGATTTGAGTTAGTGTTCGACAGTAATTGCGCTATTAGAACTCTGAATTCAAAAATCAATATATCGAAATCTATTAGAAATAATTAATTGTAGTTTTTTTCAAAAACTTTCTTAATATGTCTCTATATTTTCTTCGCAGACAGTATGTAAAAATCTTTATAAATAAAAAAGTTACATGACTGCTAAAAATTGCTATGCACTAAAAGTAAATGGATGGGTTATTTAAAATTTTTGAATGGAAAAGAGCAACCTTGTCGAATTTTTCTTATTTAAACATATTGTAAATCCGATCTTTAAAATATAAAAAAAGTTTCTAAAGTGGTTATTAAGTTATGGCGTGTTGTGTTAAAAAGTTCATTTTTAAATTATCGCGATTACTGACGTTTTCTCGTTATAAAAAAATGGACACCCTAACGATATCCCTATAATTCTATTTCAGATGCTCAGAAACATATCAAATCATTTTCTCTAGTTATCTTTTCGAAAAAAAATCTTTTTGAAAATAAGTGGTTTGTGATCGTGATTTTTAATTTACTTGATAGGGAAAGACATACCGGCAACGCCGCAACAACACACCGTCGCATTTCTCTCACTCCGACTTAATAAGATCCCTATGCGATTTACTTCACACATGTAAATACCGACCCAAAGGTAACAGTTGCCAGCCCGGTATAATATAATAAAAAATTAAACTTACTGTTACAATATGCAGCTGATACAAACTTCTTAGATTCAATCTTAGCAAAACACACTGTCTTTAACGTGGATAAATTGACAATTCTTACAGCACCATCTATACACACTAAAACTGCGTTTCCTTCAACTCCATTGTTAGTTTTAGTAGTTGGGACTTTAAACTTATCCAATACGGGCAATAATCCCACGGCCAATGGTTTCTCAAAATTTAACATTTCTCTAACGATAACAGAATCTTCAATAATTTTAACCATTTTACTTGAGAAATCTAATTGATAGATCAAGAGAAAACTTTTATTACAATACTGACTGCAGACAGTGACTAAAATATGTCCATCATCTTGTGTGGACACTATGTTAGATATCTCCAAATGTTTCACATTACGACACTGTTCAGGTAAACCAATGCACTGAACAGCCCTTGAGTAGTTCAGTTTCTTATTAGATTGGTTATTTTTTAAGTCCACTATGTGATCCGATATACTTGGTTCAGTAGTCTCAGAGAGAAATGGACCATTTGGTAAGTTTCCCAAAATATCACTTGCAGATGAAGAGTCAGCCTCTGTATTGTTTGTGTCCACAGTTAGAAGTCTAGGGCCACTGTGCGGTACCTTTTTCACATTATTTGGAGTGTTTGAAGTTGGTGGTGGCACAAAGACTGTATCGCTTTCACCTAAATATAAGTATAACAAATAAAATATGTTAAATATTAATTAATCCAGTATCAGATGCAACTCATTACATAGATTGGAAACAAACAGGTAAAACTGCTCTTAAAATAATGGTAAAGAAATTAAATATCGGTTTGCCAAAAAGAGTTTTTTTATTATTGAATTATTTAAAAAAAGTTTATGCAAAATTATTTCAGCATGTCTAATGGTGGATTTATATGCATCCGTCATGCGTGGTCCATCGTTCCGTCACTCCAGACACGTTCAAGTGTGATCTGTCATTTTTGAAATAAAGTAATAAAATTGTTTAAAATCAGTGATAGACCACGCAGTATGTAAACCCACACTAATAATAAAACAAAACTAAAATACCTATAAGCAACTACCAAGAAAACGCTATTTAAATTATTTATTAAAACTGAACCTCAACGTTCAAAGTAAAGTCTAAGTACATAGTTTTAATTTTTCTTTAATATTTTTGGATGGTTAGGCAAATTCGTTTAACCAGTAAAAAGCCACTGAGAAGCTGGTTAACGTTTGGATTCTAAACAGTGGTATCTGACCAAAAATAACTTTTTATTTTTTAATTTCTCTTTGAGTTGCATTAACCCGCCTCAAAGGTTCACACATTATTTTCATTGCGTCAAGTTTGGCCTCACACATTATTTTCATTGCGTCAAGTTTGGCATCTTAAAAAATTACGTTCTTTATTTTTTTACAAATATTTACGAAAATGTAACAAATAATATTGTATAGGAATTATTATCGTTGAATTAAATTTGTTTTATGAAATTTGAATAAACAAAATACGATTTTTTAAAAATCTAAAAAAATGTATTGTATAAAGTCCTTTAAGTTTTATGAGATCTGGTATATAGACGTAAAATTAAATTATAAACAAGCTTTCTCTTTGAACTTTTTTGGTAATTTGTCCTCTAATGCATTTTTTTGTATACAGGGTTCGGCAATAATAAACTTGTGAATTTTGTTGTTTGAAGTGCAAACCTAAAGCACGACATATAGTACAATCGGCAGACTAACTCTGCCTTGATCGTATTGTTTAAAATTACTATAAAATTTGACCTTGACGACGTCATTCGGGTGTCCAAGTCAGGGTCGGATTAAAACGTATCAAAAAAATTTCATAGAAAATAAACTATTGATATACAGGTCCTGTATTCGTCGGCCCAATCTAATCAATCATCGAGCGGCGGAGCTACATCGTCAGCCGCAGGAGATAGAAAGAAGGGTGCCGGAGCTAAAGCCAAGAAAGGCGCCGCAAAGAAATCAGCAGCTACCGAAAAAAAGGCGCCGAAAAATGCTGCCGGATCTCCAAAAGCTAAAAAAGCGGCAGCCGCTTCGTCGGAGAAAAAAGTAGCCGGAAAAAAAGCAGCCGAAAAGAAGAAAGCCACCTCTGGCGGAGCAGCGACGGCCGCCTCTGCTAAACCCAAATCTCCCTCTAAGGCGAAAAAGTCCAATAAAGCTGGACCGACAAAAAAACCTAAGGCCCCAAAACCGAAAACAGCAAAAACATCCACCGCAGCAGCTTCCGCCGGCTCCAAAGTCTCCATGCCTCTCTTAATAAGAAGATGTAATTTTTACGGCAGGTACGAACAATATATTTGCCATAAGGACAATGACAACATCAGATCTTATACCTAGACGACGTACGAGATAAAACAATAGAAAATATATTTCTTAAATGAAATAATTTCAAAAATCGGTTGTTTTCAGAACCACAAATTTCTTAATTAAAAAAAAAGAAAAAAATATGCATAAAATATATACTTATGGTAATAATTACAATCCGTCTCACTCCCTTACCCTTCAAATATAACGGTCTCAAAGTAATAAAAATAAGCTTATAGTTAACTATCCTTAATACTAAGATATTATTTAAATTCGAAAATATATTGCTTTACATCGATATAAAAACAAGCCGGCCCTCACCAATCTACTCTATATAAATAGAATTCTAACTAAATCGAAAACCAAACTTTGTCTTCTTTACAGGCTCATAAATTAATTATCTATGCAAAAAAAACTAAATAAACTATTTCTTGACAATACATTATTTTTGATATATATGCATAGATAAAAGAAAATAATCTACTATATATTTATATATGTCAAAGTCGAACTTTTTGTTGTTGCTAACAAATTTACAAAGGTAAATAAAATTAAATTGACGTTACGTTGGTAATCAAAACGGCTTGGCGTTCCTTTTTTGTCAATCTTGATTTATTTTTATTGTCATACCCGTGAATATTATACCTAACGCCCTATAATAATAGATCCAAACATGATATTAACTTATTAACTCGAGTGCAAGATAATAACGTAGCATTACCACATCTTTATAAAATTAAATTGGTTAAAAACATTAAAAATTTCTTTCTTTCGAAAATATAGTTGTTGGTCATAAAAAGGACCGATTTTAGGTTTGGTTTGGTTTGGTATTACAACTGTATTACAGGGTCATATTAAAAAACGATACTGTACTGTTATGGCTTATATTTGGATTATTCAGTAAATAATATTCTCAGCTCATTTTTATACTTCTGAAAAAATACTGGGTTTTGGTTAGGCCTATAAAATATAACACTTGTTTGTGTTAGGTCTAAATGTTTTAAGCTAACTGTGCCTACGTTATTAAACCCACCATGAACCCTTAATATGTTTAGTCTACGATCGTAAATCAATTGAATTCCTTTTTCAGAGCAAAAGTATGGTTTAAGGCTTGTGGTAGACTGGATTTGTCCGCAAAAGTTGAAAAACTTCACCAGAGTCACCGAATATGAGGCGCTCATTTCCGTACGCAAATGTTTCTGAAGAGAAAAAGGAAACTTAAATCGTTAACCGGGCATACTCCTCGAAAAGTAAAAATGAAGAAATCAATCAAATATTTGACTGTAGAGAAGAGACACTTAAAATTAAAAAACATGCAACTAACAAAAACATGTCCGGATTTACAAACAAGAATTAAAAATACCCAATAAAATATCTATTGAACAATATAAAGAGGCTACATACAAATTATGCCCATCAATGGACGTAGCAAATTGTATTAATTTTCAAATTTCATAAATTAACAATTATCTGCTACAGGAAGAAGATTCACCGTTGAATTTAAATATAAATATCTGGCGATGTACTTTTCCGGGCCGAAATTACATATAAGACGCTTTTGCCAAATCTATTTACCCTTCCATGTCTAGAGCCACGAGAGACACTAAGAAAATTAATATATGACATCGATATCAAACCTGGCTTAGAAAATCCTAGTGTATTTGAGACTCTAAAATGAAAATATTATTTATTATATTATTAATCGATATTGATGAGATGAGTATATTAAGTAGTACTGACTCAAAGCTGCCACATAAGTGTCTGTTGTCGATGACAAAAACTACGACACACGGTTACTTTCTGTTGTTGGACACCCAAATGGTAGCGTGCGCAAGGATATGCGCGTAGCGTTGACCTGCCGATTGTTTTATATGCCGTGCCTAAAGTATGTACTAGGATGTATTTCAGGAAAATATTTTAACTTCTATAAGGTGGCTCAAAAAAGTGTGAGTGGATCGGGATGATTTTTTTTAAATGGAATACTATGCATTTTTTGGCTTCCTTTTAGATCACTTTATATAATCCTAAGATATAAGTAAATATATTTCGATAGTTTCAGACATATTAAGAAATAAATAAAAAATACATGCTTTTCAACCTTTCTTAAAAAAATTATTAAAATTACAAGAACTGTCTTGAAATCAAAACTATATTAGGTATTTACTTTAGATGGTCTGCACTTACTTTGCTGTAAATATGGTAATTGTAAATCATATAGAATGTTCAGAATTCTACGCCAAACTATTTAAAATACAAAATAATTTTTCTTCATTTTCTTAAATTCGCAGTTTTATATTCCATATGGCATTTTCTACAGTAAATTTTTATCAAAGCCACTCAATAATTTTTCTCTCGTATTTTACCCTTGAAAGAGCCATATGAAATAATACTGCGTGTATCTGCAAAACCAGGAAAAGTTTTGAACCAGGAAAAGTTACTATAAATACAAAAAATGCTCATTTTTTAACTCTCATCTAATAAAAAATAATATACAGGGTGTTCCATTAAAAAAAACAAAGATTTATTAAATATTTTAGAAAGTTTGGCGTAGAATTTTGAACACCTTGTATGACTTAAGATTACGATATTTATAGCAAAGTAAGTATATACCATCTAAAATAAATAGCTAATATAGTTTTGATTTCAGGACAGTTCTTGTATTTGTAATATTTTTTTCAAGAAAGGTTGAAAAATATATTTTTTTATTCATTTATTAATATGTCTGAAATTATCGAAATATATTTACTCATATCTTAGGATTATATAAAGTGATCTGAAAGGACGCCAAAAATGCAATAATATATGTACATGGAGTTCCACTTAAAAAAATCATCCTGATCCACTCATACTTTTTTGAGCCATCCTATAGAAGTTAAAATATTTTCCTGAAATACATCCTCGTACATACTTTAGGTTTCCACTTAAACAAAATTCTCAAATTGTTTATTCTAGGTGCTACAAATGCCCGATGCACTATTGCCGAACCCTGTATAAGACAATTTTTGTCATATGCCGCCATGACAGTTGTACATGTCAAAATTACTATTTTTGTTATGAACATGGTGAAGTAATTCCACATAAACTTTTATTTCAAAAAATCAATATTTTTTCCATTTGTTGCCAACATTATGGAACACTCTGTGGTATATCATTTGTATGATATAAATCAAAGATTTTGTCTGTATAGGCTTGGTGCATTTCAGTTGATTATTAAAATTCCGACCGCAGCGCTCCATCGGCAGAAATCAGAAGTTTTCACTGTGTATTTCACACAGTTCAGATGTTGATAACATTTAAATTTAAAATTGTGGCTTTGTGATAATATTTAAGTGATTTAGTTGTTAAGAGTTCAGTTATTGAAACTAACACTCAGATATGAGGTTTGTGTGATGTAACGCTATTTCGGGTATCAAAAATTAAGTAAAAAAGAATCCGAACTGGGCGTCGCTCTGTGTTGTGACAATTTCAAATGTTAATAAAATTGTCGAAGAAAATGTTAGCACGTAAAGGAGAGTGTAATTACGTGGTTGTTGGGTGCAATAACATTCAATTACTCAACTTTCCCGGATATTCAACTCCCCCGAAACAACATTTTATAGCTTCTCACGCCGATTTGATCAAAAGCAAAAATGGATTCAAGTAGCTCGACGAAACAAGTGAGTAAACAAAGTGCCCATTACAAAATCAAAAAAATTAAATAGGCATATACTATGAGAGGATAAATTATAATTTGCGATATTAAGTGCGTGGCCCCACGAGGCGTACAACCTAGCGTAGCGTAGAGATGAGAGGATCGCGAAGCGTTTAAATGTATTGAAGTAAATGGAAGTGACCCCACATACAGGCGCGGATTGGCGCGTATTTTTCTATTGTTCGCTCCGCTTTACGTGTGCAGCGTTGAGTATTGAGTTGTATGTTGGGCCAAGGCCTAATGGTATACTTGTTTTAATCAACTAGTGCGTAAATTTTTTATTAACATCTTCTAAAAGTATACTTTATATGTACCTTTAGAAAATCGTTATAAGCGAAATAGCTACAGTTATGTCTCCGCTAGCGTAGTTGAAGTCATCTATAAATTTTTATTACCTGAAAAAATTATAATACAAGTTCTTCTGAAAATATCAAAATATTTACTTTTTCATTTTTATTTTTAGAATTTTCATAAATTGTACTTCGTAACACTTTTAGAATATTTAAATAATAAATTTTTTGTATACTCGCTATTTAGACGCGTATGTTTGCATATACCGGTTGTTTACGATTTTCTTCAATGGTGGCACCACCGCTGGTGAATACACCAAGCCTATATACAGGGTGCTACAAATTCGAGGTACGAGCATTGGTATCTCGGAAACTGTAATAGATACGAACATGGTTAAATTGGGGCAAAGTTGCGCTTTGGGATGTTCACCAAGATGCCATCAAAAAAGTTTTAAAAATTTCAAAAATTGCTGAGTTTTTGGGAAAAACAGATTTTTTTGAAAATCAAATTTATTTTTTCCTGTCGTTACTTTTTAGAAAATCAAAAAACTAATTACACATTCTATAGCCACATTATTAGGGCTATCTGATAGTATCTTTAGATTTTCAAATTAGCTGATAATTTTTAAGATACAGAGGCGAACTTAATTTTTTTAAATACGGACCTGCATTTTTTATTTCAGATTTTGAAAGAACTCGGTCTTCTGAGTACAATGATATGCCACACTTAATATTTTTTTTTGTTTTGACATTTGAACATAATTTATTTAAACTAATTTCAAGTCCGGCTCTGTTTTTTTTAATATTTAATCTATTCATCGTTATATAATATTGATAAGCTTTCAAACTTAACAATGACGTGGGGTAAAACATTGAATCCGGAAAATCAAATGCAATAAAATAATATAATATAATTAATATAAACAATCAAATCATTTTCCCCGGAAGTTGTATTGGAAATGGTAGAGCAGTATAATGTCCAGCGAGGTTCATGGACCTATCGCCAAGGGGCTACATTATTTGACGTGATTTGCAAAAGTGAAATCAATTCATCTCAATATTTACAATAAAGAGTACAAAATGCATTCGGAAGTATAAGAAAAAAGTTCAAAGAGCTATTAATAAAATTGAACGAAAAACAAATTTGTGCAATAGGGAGGGTGGTAACCCTTTCCAACATGTAGAACATTAGAAACTAGTTTGTAGAAGTTGATTTATTTATAATAACTACTAATAGCGCTGATCAATATTGTTGCGATGAATATAATCAGATTAAATAATTTAAGAAACCAGAGTCGGCCTTGAAATTATTTTAAATAATAATTAAATAGTTTTGTTGCTGTTAACCCTCAACTGGCGTGGTGGGGTCCAGGGGACCCCAAGCACTATTTAAACCTGTGTAAAATGTTTACGTTTAAGAATTAGGCCTTGCCGCGCCATTTACCTTTAAGTTAGGGTACCAATATGCAACTGTTAAAGGCGCACTTGATTTTATCAAGTATTTTTCCTACCAGCGGGGGCTAAAGTTTCCTTGGGGTCTGTGTGGCACCACCACGCCAAGAATGTTACATTATTAGGATGGTGGGTAGTCTAAAAAGTATGCTTCACTGGGACGCTAATTTTGAGGAAGCATTAATTGAGTGGTTTGATGAACTTAAAGAGGCTTAAGTGAGATGAAAACCACCGAGACATTGATTTTTCTCCGATTCTGAATCTCTTACTTATAGAAGAGACAAAAATTGAATAATCAATATCAGAAAAGACAGAGATGTGGTATATGGCAATCATAATGCAATGAAGAAATGACAAAAAACAAAAATCTCATGAACCAAATGTGCACGATCCATGTGCGGCAAATGCAGATCCTATATTAGCATAAACTGTATTTGAAAAAGTTATGATCATTCAAGGTTTGCAGTTTTGTTGAAAATAATTTATGTTTATTACTTTAGCTTCACATTTCAATTGTTTGTACTTTTAATAATACGGTAAAATCATAAAATATATATGTTTTTAATTTCTATGGGTTTCTTAGCCAAGTTATATTTTTGTTGTCAAAAATTCCTAAAAAATGCTTTTTACTTTATTTTTGTGTCCGTTCTTATTAATTTGTTGAAAATTAATGAAATAGTTTGTTCACAAGTTTGAATATATTGTAAACAGTGTTAAAATAACAAGCTTTTTATAAAATCTCTTCATCGTGTATTTTAAACTAAAAAAAAAAAAATTGGGGTCCGTCGGACACGCCATAAGCGTTACAAAAATTCACCACACCAGTTGAGGGTTAAGGTATCCAAAACACAAAAAAAAAGGATAAAGTGTGGCATATCATTGTATTCAGGAGACCGAGTCCTTTCAAAACCTGAAATAAAAAATGCAGGTCCGTATTTAAAAAAATTAGGTTGGTCTCTGTATCTCACAAATTGTCAGCTAATTTGAAAATCTAAAAATACTATCAGACAGCTCTAATAAAGTGGCTATGAGAATGTGCAATTAGTTTTTTGATTTTCTATAAACTAACAACAGAAAAAAATAAAATTAATTTTCAAAAAAATCAGTTTTTTGCAAAAAACTCAGCAATCCTTGAAATTTTAAAATCTTTTTTGATGGCATCTTGGTGAACACCCCAATACGCAACTTTGCCCCAATTTAACCATGTTCGTATCTATTATATGCTCATACCTCAAATTTGTAGTACCCTGTATATTAAAATGGACTGACTCAGAACTATCTAATTAATTGAGTTTTCTTTAGTTTTATTGGTAATCTAATAAATAATTAAAGTTTCTAAATGTAGTCTATATCCAACTAAAAAAAACTGAATAGTATATAGAATTTATTTACGCATCTTATTTATTTTGATATGGGGAGATGTATTGTTCCAAATTTGTTTAAAGCTGCATTTGATAAAGGATTGAAATTAAACTTACCGGGTATTAAGTTTTTATAAAAAGATGTTATTTCTTTTATCAAAGAAAAGTCCTCATTATTCTCTATATCAGAAGGACCTACTTTCGGAATGATAGTTGAAAAATTATAATTTCCTTGTGAAGATGTAGGAATGGGAAAGAACTGCGATTCATTCACATAATCAAAAAATTGACAATCAAAGTCAAAATCAATCTTTTTGTTGTCCTGATTTTTTTCATCAGAATCCTCTTCTTTGCTATACATAAAATCATAAACAACAAGGTATAGCTGCTGTTTGTCATTTGTAACTTCGGCATTATTCTCACTGCTCGAATACAATTCTAATGCATCAACTTGCTGTTGAGACATTTCTCTTAACGTGTCTAATTCTACATTTTCATTATTTTTTTTACTGCAAACTTGCGAAATTGTAATTCCACAAATTATAGTAGGGCGTAAAGATTTCGAAATCGCCTTTTCTTTATTAGATTTGTCACTTGCGATGGACAAAGCAGTTATTTTCTTTTCTACTAAAGTTTTTTCTAAAAAAATTATATTTTTAAAATATTTCATTATCAGTACCTACATCCAACTTACTTTCATCATTCCAAAAGCCAGATACACCAAAATCTTGCGTAAATTGTTCTAAAATATGAGAATCAAATTCTGTTACAAAGAAGGAATGTGTCCTTTTAATTTTTCCTGAGACATCAAATACTGATATGAGGCCATCATTAGTGCATGTTGGTAAAAGTTTTGAAATGTTACTAGTACCCAAAATATTAATTGTTGTGCCTCTAAATGTGGCATCAATTGCTGGTGCTGCAAGATTATTGTAAGCATGTAAATATCAATATATGTGAGCAAAAATATATTTGTTCTTACCTGTTGCATTTGTAACAGATATAGGAACATTTTGTGTGTATTCCCCTACAACAAAAGGACATGTCGGAGAATGACGATCATGTTCACTCCATGGTTCATCTGTTCTTTCCCAGCACACTAGACAAACAGTGCAAGTAAAACACATTGCCCTATCATCTCCTGATGCATTAGGTTGATGATAAAATCCAGCTTGAGCCATCTGTTCTGGCAATGCCCATCTATAAATAAACAGAAATCAGATTAAGTTCCAGAGATATATTTAAGGTCTTACTTATAATCCATATGTGGCCATTGAGAAAATGTTTCTCTTCTTCTAACTTCACTAGCCATCATTTTTCTATCAGAGGCATTTGTCTGTTCCCCTAACAATTCAGATAGTCTCTCCTGAACAGCTGATGCTACTTGTAGTTCTGGAGTATGATTTTTTTTAGTGACAAAGTCGGTTACTACAGAAGAAGTTGCTAATCTTAAATCACCAACAGGTAAAGAAAGACATGCAGTGTTCCACTAAAATATAAAATAAAAAAATATATAAAATAGCCATTGAACATGAACAGAATATAATTTCTTACTTTCTGTGCTTTGATTCCTTTTTTATGAGATTTTTGAGCATTTGTTATAACATTGTCTAGCTCATTTAAAACTTGTTCTACATTTGTAACATTTACATTTGTTAAACTTTGCTTAAGAATTATAGCCTCTGAAAGTGGTAATTCAACTTTTACAATTTCTTTTCCATCTGTTAGAGTTTTTTGAAGAATACTGTCTAATAATAAAACACCATTGTAGTCAGATCGTACACCAATAGCTTGTCCATCACAAAACAAAACTCTATCTTCACTTGGAATGTATTTACATTTTACTTCATTGGGATTTCTTGCTAAAATTGACTTTTTAGCTATTACAAATATCTTCTCATAATATATATATATATATATATATAGATATATATATATATATATATATATATATATATATATATATATATATATATATATATATATATATATATATATATATATATATATATATATATATATATATATATATATATATATAATATAATAATATTGTAAATAGTAAAATAAAAATAATTTTGCTTCAACACTAACAACATTTGACATAGCCATTTTCAAGTAAAGTACTGAATTCAAATTGTTTAATATATTTATTAGATATATAATATTTAATACAAATCACGAATTACTGCTTTCTTTATTTACTTTACTCATGCAATAGAAAAAGAAACGTTAATTCAATGAAAAGATATCTACATGTGATCTTACAATAAAATAATGTTATAAACAAAACAATATTAGAAATGAAAGAAAAATATTTCATTCAGTGCGAAAAAATCAATTATTTAGGAAGACAATAAACGAACAAAACAAAAAATAGATAAAATAGTTATAGGTACCTGAAAGATTAGTGGATTGTAAAATAACACCAGAATTAACATCTAATACTCGAACCACTCCACTGTTAGTGCAAATTAGTATAACATTAAGGGATGGATGGTAGATTATTTCTTTAACATCAGTATCTACTTTTAAATATCCATCTTCGTTTAATAACCACGGTTCCTCAGCCATTTTGCAAAACACATCTTGCGCCATCAAAATCAAGACATTTGTCACTTTCTAGATTTGAAGAACGAACCACAGGAACGAACTCACCGTAGTACAAAATAAATTGATAATTCTGACAATGGCAATTGACAATATGACAATATACAGGTTAACCAATACAGAAGTTAAAAATTAAAAATATTAAAATATTTCTATTTCTATAGGACTCTTCAGGTCGTCAGGTTTTCATTTTCACATTGGCTACATTGATAATTAATCTTTTCTAAGATTTATATATGATCAATTAGTAATCAAAGATTAGTAATAAGATAAGAATACATTTGTTACTTTCTGTTTGTTATTAGAATATATTAAATAAAAAAAAGGCAAAATAATACACTTAATTCCTTATTAGATTATTGGTATTTACAAATTTAATGATTTTATAATATCATACATAAATTTTAATCTAGGATTTTTATTTTAAATTATTCGGTTGGCTATCTAGGTTTGAATTTGTTTTGGCCTTCAGTTTTGGCGGTTGTACTGACTGTACACCCTACTTTTTTCACCCTTTGTTTTATTATACAAAGAACTAGATTAAAATGAACCGAGAAGAATTACTACAAAACATCTATTATTCTGCAAAGTACTATGATGATCAATTTGAGTATAGGTAAGGTCAATTCCTAGAGTAATTGAAACCGACCCTGATTTTTTTCTATCTTTTTAGACATGTTGTTTTGCCCAAAGAACTTGTAAGGTATGTACCTAAAACACATTTAATGAGTGAAGACGAGTGGAGAAGACTTGGTGTTCAGCAAAGTAAAGGATGGATACATTATATGACACATGCACCAGGTTATTATTACTATTAAATATTCAATTTACTTCAAAATGTAATCTTTAGTATAAGCACTGTATAAGACAGGATTTGATTGATAGTCCATAAAGTTACTTCAAGTAAAACATGCAAACATGCTTATGCCTACATAATATTCTACCATTAATATGTTTTTTTTTAATAATGGTGTAGGTACCACGGTGTATGTTGGTATAACCCTTGTATAACTAATATTAATAACTTTATTTTTATTCAGATAATCTAAACTACATTTTTTTTTGTTTTAGAACCTCACATTCTTCTTTTCAAGCGGTTAAAAACAGAAGCACCTCCAGAGGAGTAGATATTAGAAATTTATTATCTCTGGCAAAGGCCAATGCAATCATTGAAGTCTGTATATTTCATTTCTTTTACAATTTTTCGTACCTATATAATCACTTGTTTTAAGTCAGAATTAGTCCAAACAAGTGGAATGGCTGTTATTAGCATAGGTGTATTTGTAAGTTTACTTTAGGGTTGTTAATGTTAAGTTCTTTTTTATTATCATAAGTTTGAAGTGCCTTTTTATAATAAATGTTTTTACTTTGTTTGTTTGTCTGCATAAAATGCTTAAATATTCAGAATAGGAACCTAATTGTCAAGGTATAATAGTTGAATATTTTATTTTTGAATAGTACTGGGTAGATATAATTTTAATAAAAATAATTATGAAAAGAAAACTAGGTACGTATGAAATTTAAGGAATAATATACAATGATTTTAATTTAAATGTGAATATACAGTTTACAGTATTTTGCAACATAGTATACCTAGTATACTAGTATGCACAATTTTTATTTAAACAAAATAACTTCATTTAAAACAAATATTTTTTTTGTAATGAAGTATTGTTGGTTGCATATGTTCAAATCAGAGACACAGGTTCTAAATTAGATTCAAAATATGATTCAAAGTTCTAATCCAATCAGAATCAAATGACATTTCCATTTTAAAAAAACATGCATGGCGCTTTAAGCCCTTTGTTCACAGCACGTTCACAGTTAACCAAACGTTCACAGTTAAAATAAAAGCACGGTAGATAGATTTTATTTTTATAGCTATGTTTTGTGTTTATCTATATCTCTGGTTTTTTCCGAGTATAAATATAACAATGGTATTTATGATGGTATTTATCCCGTTTAGGGTTTTTAGTTTCTTAATGTTCTTAGTTACGGCAGGTTACGATTGACGTTTATTCGAATTTTTGTGTTGGCAACACAATTAAAATTTTTGACTTTATCCGTTTCCTTTAAAGAAAAAATAAGTTTTTGTAGCAGCTAAAAAGAAGGTTTAAATATTTAATCTGCATCAATCTGCATTAAATTAAGTTACATCAAGCAACATGAGTCGAGAGGAACTCCACCGCAATATTCTTTACTCGGATAAATATTACGATGATCATTATGAATACCGGTAAGTATAATTAACGAAAGAAAACTTGGTTTGAAACAACTCTTTTAGGCACGTTGTATTACCAAAAGAGCTGGTTAAATATGTACCTAAAACTCATTTGATGAGTGAAGATGAATGGAGAAGTATTGGTGTCCAACAAAGTAAAGGATGGATTCATTACATGACACATAATCCAGGTTATATTCAATACAGTTACAAATAATACTTGTCATACTAATGGTTTAATAATTTTAGAGCCTCATATTTTACTGTTTAAGCGACCCATAACAGAAAATCCTTCAAAATAGTTACCTGCCAGTCATTAGATGTTTGTGCTGTTTGAAACTCTAAAAAAGAAGCCGTAACTTTACTAAAACAATTGTTTGTACGTTTTATGTGCCTCAATATTCTTAATTAGTTTTAAGAATAACAGTGAGAAAATTGATACAAACTGGCAAATCTTTAAACATTGGATTAGACTTTTTCAGTAAGACATCCCACTATTAGTTTTTTTTTTGTGAAAAAAACTATTTAAAAGTGATTAGCAATTATTTAAGGTGCTGAAGAGTCGATATTAATAAATACTTAAAGAACCAAATTAACATATACTTAAATAAATAATGCATTTAGTTCTGGTAGATATAATTTTCACAACTGTTATTTTAACAAAACTAAGGAAAGTCTGTACGTTATTTATAAAAAATGTTCCACGTTATTTAGGATAAGTCTTTGTTACCTTACTACGTTGTAATAATGTATTAATATTTTTTTAATAAATTTATTTGTTCAAGTACCTATTTGTAAAATAAAAACAAGATCCCTCAACATAAGTAAAACAAAAAATAAATTATTCCAAGATCATTTTATTGAAATGAAGACATAAATTATATTTACATTTTTTCTGTTGAAATACCAAAAGTAATATCCAATTTTGTATCAGTCTCTATGTCAAACATGAGAATCCTTAAAACTAATATCAATGAAAATATGTTAAATTAATTTATAACAAATTTAATGTCTATAACCTGGCAGAAATGCGATTTACACTACAAGATTATTTTTATGGCATTATGTTAATCTCAATATCAAATAGAAAAAAAAACATTTACAAACATACTGAAATATATAGAGCACAATACTATGAACAATTAAACTGATTAGGACACTGAATTTGATTGAATGGAAATTAAACATACTAAAAATTAATAGTTTTTAAAAATAGAACTTAAAACATAAATTTAATGAGATTCATTATAGCAGTGCAATTGAATCATCTTATTTTAATTACTATGTTACTTATATTTATTCATCATCCTCTTCATCTTCTTCATTGGCACTGCTTCTGCCATTCTCTTCCTCTGCAGAACTATCTTCTTTCTTTTCTTCTTTTTTGGGTCTCCCTCTCTTGCCTCCTTTGGCTGCTAAAAATTTCCAAAAAAATTAAACTTTGCGTTAGAACATAAAAATAAATATCTTACTTCCATTGGTTTTAGCTGCGGCAGGTTTCTTTGCAGCTGCTTTTGGACGGCCACGGCCTCTCTTTACTGGCGGTGCATCACCATCATCATTTTTCGAAACTTTTTCCTCCTAAATACATATTATTTAATTAAAACAATAACTAATATTATGATTTAAAAAATTCTCTTCTATTTCTAGAACAAATATTTTGTTTTATATTCATTTTAGTCACAATATTCCAAGACATTTGAGATAAAACATTGTGATTATATGAACACAAAGTTTACATGTGATTTCTTTTAAACCTTGGAATTTTAAAAACAAAGAACAATTTTAATCAAGTATGTATATGTCTTAATAAATAACTATCATCAGCTATCATGATTACTTATTAATTAATAATATAGCTAGTGCTAATTATCCCAGATATATAAGTAGTTGAATCAATAAAAATATCTTGAATTTTATTGAAGTTTTTACACAATATTATACCTTTTTAGCTGGTTTTTCTGCTGCTGGTTTTCTACCCCTTTTCGCTGGTGCTTTTACTTGAACTTCTTCGTCAGACATGTTTGATTATTAATTATACAAAACCTTCAACTTCTGCAAAAATAAATTTGCGATTACCAATAGAAAAGATGCAAGACAGTGTAAGAAAGCAGAAGGTTGATATAAATCGTTAACGAGACAGACCGAATAATAATTATAAATCACAGAAAAGAAAAAAGAAATCGAAACCTGTTTGGATTGGATATAGATCTGCAGCGTCCTTTGTTGTTTAGCAACGCCGATGGCGCCAAATTATAATCTAAAAATATCCGACGCGAATAAATGTTTTTAAAAAATATACTAAAAATTATTTTATACTACTTGTGTATAGGATTCTACTTAGTAGGGAAAATATTATAAAGGCTACGGAAAATATGCAAAAATGGCTTCTTCAATGGAAGCCGGCCATTTTGCAATTTTCGTTTTATTCGATTTCTTGCATTTTACTCACAGAAATGTTATAGCAACAAACGTAGTAATTTATAATAATTAAAATTAGAACTAGTTTCACTTATTTCAACAATAAACTTACCTATATATTAAATAGAAAAATTAATTTCTTTGAAGGAAAGAGACCAAACACCACAACAAGCTCTGCAGAAATATATTCCGCCGGCCGCCGAAGGAGAAACCGAACGTTGAAATCGGTAAGCGACGTTGCCAAGTAGCAAAAATCTGATCAAATTACACTGATTTTTAAAGTGAAACTTCTTTACACGCGATGGGATTAAAAATTGAAGGCCGTGACACACTAGACTAACTCGGGCCCTATGTGAGCTAGGGGGTTGAAACTCGGGACCCCAAAAGCCCCAAAACTCGGACACCCGAAAGGGGTTGTTTGAGCGAGGGCCCCATCCAGCCCCATCTTTTCATGATATTTTAACGACGTTTCATGCACTATGAAATCCCATCATCAATGGCAAAAAAATCGTCCAATTTAATGGGTCTTTGGAGCGTCGTAACTCGGACCTTAGTGTGCTAGGGGGTTGCAACTCGGAATATAGATTCTATTTTGACATCTTTTCATGATATTTTGACAACGTTTCGTGCACTACGAAACCCCATAATCAATGATAGATTGGACCAAGGCCAACTTGACCGTGTACGACAGGTGTCACTGTTAGACACGTGTGTCACTGTCAGACAGTTAGTTTTGACGTAAGGAATGTCAAAAATTGATGTCGTCCGATCGCAACCAAATTTGGTGGGTCGGCTGTGTTAACGATGGTGCGTGTTGCAACCGTCCTGCAAAATTGGATAAGACGTTTCGTTTACATCTTCATCAGGGTGGGACTAACGATTTAATATTGAAGAAAAATGTGGGTCGATTTCGGCATAATTGGGACGGGCTGCAGGATGACGCCCTCGACGTTTCTAGAGGGACGTGGATAGAGGGACACGAATGGGAGTCCTCAGCAGACGGACAGGCGGCCAAGCAGACCGACGGAAATTAGATGAACTTTCATTTCAAATATGCGCACATAGTGCACAGTGTGCACTGCACATACACTTTTTTTTATACAGGATGTTTAAAAAGTGAATAGTGAGAACTTATTATTATTTATTATGGTAATTATATTATATAGAAAACATTTCTTTAAATAATTTTTATCCATTAATTTTTAAATACAGCGTAATAAATTACATTATGACTTTACAAATTGAAATCTTTTACATCAAAATTTTATTGAACCGAAATGGGGCATTATTTGTTTTTGATTCACTACATCATCCAAGCAAGCCCAAATACCGTATGATCGAATAAAAACGGCATCAGCGATGACTATGAAATGAAGATCGCTGTCATTTTATATATAAATTTATATGGGAAATGTCATTGATCGTCATTTCATGGCCATCGCTGACGCCGTTTTTATTCGATCATACGGTATATTTATATAGACTACTAGAAATTTCTGAGTGGTCAAATTAAGTTGTAAAATGGGGGGTTTAGAAATATAAAAAATCTAGTAACATACTAATAAAATATAATAATTTTAATCACACAATTAAATTTTTAATTTTATTAATTTTTAATGCTCCAGTCTATGACCGTTTTTTTTAAATTAATTAATATATAACTTCGAAATAGAATTATTATGCTCACTCCATAATACATCTGGCAACATTGGACGCTGTCTAGGGATTCCGGGTTTTGATGGTGGGGAAGCGTCCTTATCGACTGACAGTTAAAGATAAAAAGGCGGGAAAAGTCTACCCTTCCAGAGACAATGGCACAGAACACAGAATATTATAATATAAATAATACTTATTTATATCCAAAATATACGCCTTTATATACACCGGTGGTGTAAATTCTATTACAATATCTCTAACTAGGGTTGCCAACCGTTCTCTATTCCAAAGGACTCTATATTTTTGATCATATTGTTCTCGTTTCTCTCACGTATTGAAAATAGAGTCCTCTTTTTTCTTAGATGTGCAGGTATCCCCTGCACATTTAGCATAAGAAAAAAAAATAGAATATATGTACGATATGATCGAAAAAAAAACGGCGTCAGCGATGGCTGTGAAATAAAGATCGCTGTAGTTTTATATACGTAAACATTATAGGTATGGGAAATGTCATCGATCGTCATTTTCAAGTCAACTGGTCGCCCTTTTTTCGATCATATCATACACGGTACTATACAATACTACCTATATCTATACAGGGTCTGGCGCAACAGTGCGTCGGGCATCTTTAGCTCCTAGAATAAAAAACTTGGGAATTTTGTTTTTAAGTGCAAATCTATAGTATGTTCTAGGATATGTATTTCAGGAAAATATTTTAACTTCTATAGGGTGGCTCAAAAAAGTGTGAGTGAATCGGGATGTTTTTTTTTAAATGGAACAACGCACCCTTTATATTATTGCATTTTTGGCTGCTTTTCAGATCACTTTACATAATCCTAAGATATGAGTAAATATATTTCGATAGTTTTAAATATATATTAATAAATAAATAAAAAATATACAAGGTGGCGCACCTCATTCGCTTCGGTTGATTATACGAAAAGGGAAAGATGTAGAAACAACATATTTTATGGGTATATGTGGGGAGGTAATGTGCACAATTTAAAATTATTTTGAAGTGTACAGGGCGTTTCAGATTTAAGATATACCAAAGTTATATTTTTTCTTATGGATCACACACACCCGGTATTTTATTTAATTTTTGGATTCTTGAGCCCAAAAAAGGTATTTATTATAAGTGTTAAATATGTTTAAAATTTTTGGTTTTTGAGATATTTATAGATATTTAAATTTGCAGGCTACAATAGAATAGATTATTAACACCCTGTACATTACTTTTCAAAATTAATTCTTGTGCTGAGTTTAAAGGTAGAGAAATAAACTTTACTGAAAAATTATATTTCTTCCTTAAATGTATACAGGGGTATCAAAAATTGGTGGTCTATTTTAAATATTTATTTTACATAAAAACTTTTCGTTATTTCAAATGCAACACTATGTATTTTTTTAAATAAGTCGAAGCAGTTTAAATGTTCTTTCAAACTATATTAGGGTTTGCTATACCTATCTGGCTCAGATTTTGTATCTAATAAAATTGTAATAAAGATGGCTATATAGTGTTGTCATGGCAAGTTTCTAGTGACAGTTAGTAGCTATTTTCAAAATCGAAATTAGTTTATGGACTTATTTAAATTTATACCAGTTTACTTTTATTTAATTTACCTACAATAGTTTAATAAATAATATTTTTTAAATATATGTGTTTATTATTCTATCAAGAAAAACGAAGAAGTAGGTAGTTCTTTGAATTATTTTACGATGACTTAATTGTAGATATATAGATTTTCTATAAAAGAGCCAATTACAGAAAATTCATTTTCTTCACTTCCAACTATAGGTTTTCTGCCTAATAGTTTTTTTATAAACCACACTACCAGAGCTCTGCGAAATAGAACAAGAAGTTTTTTTTAAAGAAACGCTTATCAGGAAGATTCCTATTTGGATATCTTTGAGTATAAGCCCTTGAGGCCAAGAAGCAATTTTCCTCACAAAATAATATCACTATAGTAATATATCTATTCGTTCCGCCAGCAGATACTGCTTTATTTTTCTTGATGAAGTAATGAATATTTCCTTATTAAACTATTGTAGGTAAATTTAAGTAAACTGTTATAAATTATAAATAATAATGTACATAAACTAATGTCGACTTTGAAAATAGTTACTAACTTTCACTAGAAAATTGCCATGGCTACACCAGCCATCATGATTGCAACTTTATTTAAAAATCGCTTTTTATTCAAAATCTGAGCTAGATAGGTATAGGAAACCTTAATATAGTTGATAGATTTGAATCTGCTTCGATTTATTATATAAAATACAGGGTGTTGTATTTCAAATAACAAAGTTTTTATATAAAATAAATTCTTAAAATTGGTCAGCAACTTTTGATAGCCCTGTATAAATTTAAGGAACCAATACCATTTTTCAGTAAAGTTTATTTCTCTACCTTTAAACTTAGCATAAGAATTAATTCTGAAAAGTAAGGCTTGATTTGGTTTGGTTTATAGTCTATTCTATTGTAGCATGCAAATTTAAATCGTCCTATTGCAGTCAAGTCACTAACTAACATTTTTCCGAACAACCAAATTCAATCACTAACTATGTTTTGAAGCGGAGAATCGATTACAAAAGTCATTAACTACGATTTCTGGCTATTTATGTTTTATTTTAATACTGAATAGTTACTAACTATAACATCTTTATTCAATGCAATTCATCTTTAGACGCATTTTTCTCGGAAGTAATAAAAAGTAAGTTAGTGACTTTTGGCAGCAATGGGACGAAATATCTTTAAATATCTCAAAAACTAAAGATTTTAAACATATTTAACCCTTATAATAAATGCCTTTTTTTGAGCCTAAGAATCCAAAAATGAAATAAAATACCGGGTGTGTTCCATAAGAAAAAATATAACTTTTGTATGGATCTTAGTTTTGAAACACCCTGTATATTTCAAATTAATTTTAAATTGTGCACATTGTCTCCCTACATATACCCATAAAATATTTTGTTTCTACAGCTTTCCGTTTTCGTATAACCAACCGAGGCGAATGAGGTGCGCCACCCTGTATACAGGGTGGTCCGAACTGTATTCCGGAAACTTCGGCAGCATATTCTGCAGATAGAAATAAGTAAAAAAGCTCGTATAAATGTATGTCCTAAAATGCTTGGTTTCGGAGATACAGGGTGTAGAAGTTTCATTTTTATTTTAACTTTTTCCAAATAATTTCTGAAGTAACGTCAATATTTGGATGAAAATCGGTGTCTGGGAGTTTTTTGACATGAAAAATTCGATTTTGATGTCAATATACTACATATTTTTAACTGGTTGAAGAGTAATAACTTTTCGTCCGTACCTGTATAAAACTACTGAGTAAAAAAATACACATTCATGACGTTTTTTATGTAAAAAAGGTCTCTTGGTAAAAACCGCTACGAGTAATAGTTTTCAAGATATTTGGAATCAAAATTATCAATACCTATCATAATTGACATAAATTAAACATGTCGACTAAATAGTTATTAGATGAAATAATAAATTTGAAATGTTTTTGTGCCAAAAGTCAATAGAAACTGTTTTATCATAATTTTTTGCAGAAAAA